TGCTTTCTGACCTTCTCTTTGGTTGATTTTTGGTTAATCTTGGGGGGAGCCTATTTCTTTGTTTCTTTTTTCAGATTTCATACTAATAACATGCTCGTGTTTATACCCATTGAGCAAAAGAAACAAAAAAAAAGTCAAGTATTGACAGAGTTAAATTCTTTGTAGTCAAGCTGATTGAAGAAGTCTGCCTGTGTGAGCCCCCAGAATCTCACCTCTGGCCCTTGAAATGGTAGTGTTTCCACCCTCGTGAAGGTATACAAGACGCTGCTGCCACAGGCACACTCTTACAGGCAGCCAAACTCTTTGCAAGGGTCAAGAATCCTTGCTCTTGAGTATCAGTTTTGTTTTTGTCACTGCTGTCACCTCCACAGCACATTTGAACATTTGGGGACCAATGTTTTACAATGCATGTTATGAATGTGTGCCTTAATCCAGGCGGTGGTGGTACATGCCTTTAATGCCAGCACTTGGAAGTCAGGAGCAAGCAGATCTCTGAGTTAGAGGCCAGCTTGGTTCACAGAATGAGTTCCAGTACATCAAGGGCTACACACACACACACACACACACACACACACACACACACACACACACACACACACAAACAAACCAAAAACCTGTCTCCCCTGTCTCAAAAACCAAGGGGGAATGTGTACCTTAGCTGGGATTGATTACAAGTCTGATTTTATTCATACAGAAATGAATTAAGATCAGGAACGTAACACTGAGAAACTATTTCATTCAAGTTGGACTAGTAGTCCCATTGAAGACTCATCTTGAATAGGTCTTGTCAAGAGTGTGACTCTTGAATCTCCTAGCCACAGATCTGTAATAGTCCCCATAGATTGGTGGCACATGCCTTTAATCCCAGCACTCGGGAGGCAGAGGCAGGAAGATCTACAAGAGCTAGTTCCAGGACAGCCTCCAAAGCAATACAGAGAAACCCTGTCTCTCGAAAAAACAAAAACACAAAAAAAAAACAAAAAAACAAAAACCAAAAAACAAAAACCAAAGAAAAGGAAATTATTTGTAGTGCATTTGCAAAATTGTATTCAAGCTTGAAATCACTTGCCGAGATGTTTACTAGCTTCCCTTGTATCAGTATAGATGTGTTTGTGCATTAAAAGGTGGGAACATGCGGAGGGCAGTTCCTGACTGCAAATGAAGTTAAGTGCTTGACTCTGTCTGTTCTCGTGACATCCTGTACTGGGCACACAGCCTGTCCCCTGCAGACATCCCAGCTGAGGCTTTGCTGATGGCTTAGGCCGGCCATCTTCCCCATTGTGTGTGACTCACGCATAAACACGGTTAGTATCCAGGCATCTGCACTGGCCTGGCCTTGGGGTTCCAACAGGATGCGCCCTCAGCTGCACCCACTAAGAGCACCACCTGTGCACATTCCATTACGTTCCCTTCTGAAAGGACCCTGCCAACCTCCTCTCTCTCTCTCTCTCTCCCCCATTGGTCTCTGCTGTCCCCCCCCCCGCCTTTCCCTTAATTGAAACAAACAAAAAGCCCCCCACATGAGCTCTGTTCTGAGGCATCTTTATCTCTCGCACCACTTCTTATATTACAACAGCCACAACAAAAGCAGTCTTCTGTAAGTGAAAAGTTACACAGCCTTTCAATCCAGAGCTGTGCATTGTGCACACTGGAGAACCCTTACCTGCCCACAAAATTGTGGTGGCTGGCATGCGTCACGCAGATAGCTCTCGCGCATGGCATCGTGCAAAGGAGCTCCAGCAAAGGCACGCCTACCTTTTCTCTGGCCACAGTGTCCCCTCAGTCATGCCCTTGACTCATTTTTGCAAGCTTTTAAAATAATAGCGCATAATTTGTAGCTGGTTTTGCCGTGGGTATGGAGCCTTGAATAGCAACTACTTCTCAGCCATTAGTGATAAAATGGATCAATCTCATAGTAGAAAATACTACTTTTGTGAGTGTTCTGGGAAAGGAAAATAAGAAAACAAAACAGCCGCTGTGATCCAGGAGCACAGGCCATTTCCCTGACACTGTCCTGGTCGGTGAGGCAGGCAGGCGCCATAGCTGGGTGGGTGGGGGGGGCAAGTTTTACAGTGCTTGCTGCAAGCCAAATCTGTCCCCCTACCTGAAACGAACGAGCTTGACTGTTTGGTTATGATCTGCTTCCGTGCTGGCTTCTAACCTTGAGGGACACCCCTCCCCATGCCTCTAGGGTGGGGTTTATCTGTAGAAGCTCTCCTCAGGTGTGCAAACTGTGGGACTTAGGGTATTGCTTGTGGTGGGAGTTTGTTTACCTCAGGAGTGTGATTCTGGATCTCCTTACCATCATGGAATGTACTTTTGTTAACACACTGTCAGTTACGCTCAAGAAATATGGGGCATTCAGAGGGAGGGAAAGTTAAAACTATCGCAGCACAAAAAAAACATTAAACAAGAAAGAGACAGATTGAAGGTGTGGCATTTTTCACTCCTGCCTTCCTGATGGTTAAAATGGGAAGTTTATTTTGATTTGAATTCTCCAAGGACTATTTCATGTTATATTGCTTGCAGCATTAGAGACAGCTCCCCAGTGTTGGCTCGAGAAACAATTTTTGAATGCTGAAAGACTGGCCTAGATCAAATTCCTTGCTGCCTGTGCGCTGCTGCCCAACCCCTGTGTGTGATAGTCACGTGTGATGTGTGACCAGACACTGTCACTAACTCAACATAATGTGACCTGTGGTGACCAACCTTGCATCGTTACCCTTGTTGAGCCATGAAAATGTGTGCATTTCTACAGTGTCATATTTTTAAGACATTTATCTTAGTTTATGTGTGTGTATGTGTGTGTGTTATGTGTGTGGGGGTGTTTGTGTTTGTGTGTGTGTGGTATGTGTGTGTATGTGTGTGTGTATGTGTGCAGCACCTTTGAAGTGAGCTGTGAAATTTCAAAGCAGTGAGCAGGAGGCACGCACACATAGCGTGTTCGACTGTAAACAGAGTATATGAGAATAGACGCATGGGAGAATTAGATAACGCATGACATTTATTTTTGCAGCAATATGATGAACCTGACAAATCATCTTGTCACCAGTTTTGGATATCACCATCCTTTAAGTTTTTCCTGGAATCTTCCAGAATCATCTGTGAATGTAAGGTTTTGGAGATATTTTACCAGCCAGTTCATGGGGGTTTTAAATGATCTCATGCTCATGTAAAAAACAAGGCATCTAAATGTAGCCTTAAAGAGCAGTAGTGCTCAGTGGAGCACAGTGCAACTATAAGCAGGAATGTCAGCTGACAGGCCCAGCAGGAGCCCTGAGAAACAGTCAACACGCAGGAAGCCATGTTCACAATACACGGCAGCATGCTGAGTTCCGTGTAAGAGAGAAGATAAGGAAAGCGCCCACATAGCTACACACACACACACACACACACACACACACACACACACACATACACATTGGGAAGGATGGAGACTATGCAAACCACAGTGAGGTGGGTTACTTTCAGTGTGAAAGCTGCAATGTTCAGGATTCTGGGAGAAGCAGACACAGATGAGCCTTGTTGAATAGGTTTTTGTTGTTGTTGTTTTGCGCTTTGGAAGAATGATAAGACATTCAACCACCGAGAGTAGAAAACAAACGGAATCAAAGAAACTGCATGCTACTGGAAACCAACACAGAAGCAGCAGGGAAGGGGGCTGGGATGTGAGTCACTCCTGCATCCGCCTCTCCATGACAGGGCAAGGGAGACTGCAAACTGACAGTGCTTTCTGCAGTTCTTTGGTGACAGGATAAACGGAACGGCTCTGCAACCCGACGAGACACCCTGCAGGGCCCAGTTGAGGAGTGAAGGGGTGACATCAGAGGGAAAAGGTCCCAGGAGTAGAGGAAAAAGAACAAGCCTTTGGGGTTGGTTAGAACTGCACACGTTTATTTGAACCTGGGCTTTAGAAAGCGTGTACACGTGTGTGCTGGTGTTTATGTCTGTATGTGCACACACATTTCATGTGTTACCAAGCAGTGAAGAACCTGGGCGACACCAGGAATGGCAGTCAACATGGACAGTACCACCGAGGGGCGGAGGGTCACAGTTGTACCTCTGGGTGTGGTATCTTGGGGACAGCACTCCCGTAGGGCTCCGGCAACCGGATCATAAGCGGCGTCAGACGAGTTCAAAATGATGAATATTCTAATTGGAAAGTCAGACCAGAGGACTATGTTCCTAAAAATGTCACCACGATAAAAGACAACGACATGTTAATGGAAACAGCTCCAGCCCAGGGGAGACGAGGGAGACTTGTCAGCTTGAAGTGACATTTAATTCTACAGAGATCCCGTTTGCAGGGCGGGGTGGGTGTTAACGAGTGGAGTTTGGGGCGTGGCTCGGTGGGTAAAGCGCTTGCCTTGCAAGTCTGAGAGCCTAAGATCCACCCTCAGAACCCACTTAGCAAAAGGCGGAGTGGCGGTCTGTGCCTATGTGGCGGTGCGTACTGTATGAGGGGTAGAGACGGGCAGATTTTGGGACTCACTGGCCAGCCTAGCTTGCTTGATGAGATCTAGACCAGTGAGAGTCCCTGTCTCACAAAACTACTTCTGAGAAGCTGTGACTGAACTGGTCCTCTTAGCTGCACACACACATGTATGTACATACATGTGTATACACACATGGGTTCACACATATGCATACACACATATACACGCAAGCCTACACTTACCTGAACACACAAACATCATCACACACACACACACACACACACACACACACACACACACACAAATAGATAAAAGTATGCTTTGGAAAAACTGGACAATAGATAGTACAGTATGGGTGGGAAATTAGCCCAAGTATAATGCAAACTTATAACTGACCTGTGGTGGTGTGAGATATTGTTCCACACATTATTCAGGAAAAATACATACCTGTGAAGGACAGATGTTTGTTGTGTGGGGATAAAGAACACGGAGGTGCTCCTGAAAATGCACATACATCACACGTACCTGTTTCTGTCTATGCATGAAATGCAGACTGATGAGAAACATATACAGGACATCCCCCATCACTCGTCCCTTAGTTTAGAGGAAGCATTTTCAGTTTGGATTTGTTACATACAGCTTTTATTGTGCCAAGGGACGATCCTTCTATTACTAGTTCCTGCAGGACTTTTCATGGTTGTTGAAATTTAAACAAACCTTTACTGAGTTTGTTGACTCAATTGTGCACCTTTTGTCTTTGTGATTACGTGCTCCATTGTTTTCTGCTTTGCATGTGTTGAACCATCTCTGTACTCCGGGATGAAACTCTCTTGGCCATTATGTATTGCTGCATTGCTGCATTCATTTTCCATCTCCATTTGGTTGTTTTGAGACCGTGTCTCCCCATGTAACAGGCCACAATAGCCTCTGCACTCATATTTGTCTCCTTTCTGCCTACCATGTCTTAAGAACATGAATATGCACTACCATGCCCAGCCATGGATAGTTCTTGGTCCTTGCATCCCTTCAGGACTTCTTGTCGCTGACGTTGAAAGCTGAGTCCATGAGGGTTCCTTGACTTTTGATTTTATGGACTGGTGATAGGAGCACTCAAGTCAGTTCTTTGCACACTTGATAAAACAGGCTACAGTGTTTCTGCATGGCCCTGGATTAAAAAAAGAACACTGTTATTGATATGCTTAATTTTCTTAAAATTTATTAATTTAATTATAGTAGGACATATGTATCTAGAAATATATCCATTTATTTGGATTAGTTCAAACTTATTAAGCTGTTCATTTTTTCAAAATAATCCCTAATCTGAATTTCAGGGACATCTGTTACAATCTCTCTCCTTTGGTCCAATTCTGTTGATATACCCTTCTCTCTTCCGCTTGGGCCATTTGGTTTGGGGCTTCTCAGTGTCCTTAATCTCCTCAAAGAATCGGTTCATTGGTCCCATGAGTCACTCTTCTAAAAGTCTGTCTCATTAATTTATGCCCTGGTCTTTATCATTTCCTTCTCCCCTCCTCTGTTTGTTTGAGGTTTGTCTTCTTCTTCTGGTTTGTTCGTTTTGTCTTTATTCTTTATTTTCTGGTTTCCAAGGATGCATCGTTGTGTCACTTATCTGCCTTATCTCATGTCTATCCAGGCCTCTTTTGCTACGTCCTACACATTCTCAAGTTTCATTTTCATTTGATTCTAGGACACTGCCATTTCCTTGATTTCTTCAGTGAACCACTAATCGTTGTAAGAGCAGTGCTCAATCTCATATTCTTGTCAACTCTGTTCTTTCTCTTGCTTTTGAGGTCTAATTTTATGCCATTATGATCTGATGAGCTTTGAGCAATTATTTTGATTATTTTTTTTGCAATGACTTGGCTTTTTGCCTAAAGTATGTTCTATTTTGGGGAAAGTTCTATGAACCACTGAAAAGAATGCATATACTGCAGTTTTGGATAGAACATTATGTCACTGTCTGTTGAGTTCATTTTAACTGTAGTATAGTTTAGTGTAGAGTTTTTGTTAACTTTTTGGAACTGGGTGACCGTTTGGTGAGAGCAGGATACTGCAAGCATCTACTGTTCTTATATTAGGGTCTCTATGTTCATGGTTTCCCTTAGCATTTGTTTTACGAAATTTGATGTACAGATGTTCTATATCTATATATGCTCTATTCATGTAATAAATATACAATAATGTATATATAACTTAACATATATAATAAATATACAGGAATATATACTAAAATCCATACTCTGTCTTCTGTGTGTATTGTACCCTTTACCAACATGTAGCGACTTGACTTTCAGACATTCGTTCTATTTTATTACTTGAAATCTGCTTCATGAGACAGATATATATAGCTGCACCTGCTTTATCCAGGTTTCATTTATTTGGAATATAATTTTTTTAACTTCTAATTGATGGAGCACTCTGTTTTTTACAGGTTGGAAATAGAAGGGTATTTAATTATATTTCCATTAGCCAGTCTAACTCTTCTATTTGGGGGGATTAGGACCATTTGAATCCAGTGCTATAATTAGGTGTGTACTAATTCTTGGCATAGTTAAAAAAACCTGATGTTTAATTACTCCCTAATTAATTCTAATTTGCTCATTTAGTCTTCTCATAGGACTTACTGTTCCCTTCGTTCTTAGTGTTGTATTCCCTTGCTCTGTTGTATTTAGGTTTTCTTTAGGTGCCATCTGCAATATGGGTGTGGTCATGAATTGCATTAGTTTATACTGGCCTTGACTTCCTTCTATCCTGAAGAAGGATATTTGCCCTTGATATTGTAATCTGGGCTGCATATCTACCATTATCACCTGGTGTCTTAGTTAGGGTTCTATTGCTGTTCAGAGACACCATGGCTACAGCAACTCTCATAAAGGAAAACATTTAATCGGGGCTGGTTTACAGTTCAGAGGTTTAGTCCATTATCTTCATGGCGGGAAGCATGGTGGCGTGCAGGCAGACATGGCGCTGGAGAGGGAGCTGAGAGCTCTACATGTTGATCCGCAGGCAGCAGAAGGAGGTTGTGTAGCACACTGGGAATCACTTGAGCATATGAGACCTCAAAGCCCATGCCCACAGTGACACATTTCCTCCAAGGCCACACCTACTCCAACAAGGCCTAATGGTGCCATTCCCTGTGGGCCAACCATTCAAACACATTAGCCTATGGGGGCCATACTTATTCAAACCTTCACACCTGGTTTCAGAGTTTTTATTGAGAAATCTGATATTATTGAGATGTTGTCTGCCCTGGCAAGTGAGTTGACTCTTTTAGTACAGTATTAGGAGTCCACCAGACCCAAGATAAATCATACATAGGTGTTTATTAAGGAAGCACTCACACAGGTGAGAGTAAATAACCACCAAGGTCTTCCTCCACCAAGGTCTTCCTGCTCCAGAAGATGCAGTCTCTGCCCTTCCGATGCTCTCTGCAACCCAACAGAGTGTGTGTTAACCAGCCCCCTCCTCTACATTATAATGGGTCAGGTCTGCACCTGAAACCACACCCAAGGGGTGTGGCCACTACTACAAGTTCACTGGCCAGGCAAGATGTCATCAGCCAAACAGTGTATATTAATATGTGTCAGTGTGTTTAATTGGGACTAAAGGGCTGTGTGACCAGGCAGGAAAAGAAACTTCATCTACAGTATTCGATTTTAGTTCTTTACTATTGACATTTTTATCTAATCAATTTCCTGGGTTTATAGACAATCCTCTTAACTGGATATCCATCTTTCCCCAAGACGTGGGCATGTTCCTGGTATTGTAACACTGTATACATTTTCTGTACCTTTAGTTTGCACCCCCACACACCATTTTTGACAATGTAGCCAGGAATGTCGGATTATATTGAGGAGTTATGTTTCTAGCTGGAGTCTGTGGTGAAGCTTTCTGTCGAGTTCCTTGGTGATGTCTTTGTCTTCTGACAGTGTACAGCGTATCAGAGACAGAAGCTCCTGCCTTTCCTTGATAAGACCAGGACAATTGTAGATGGTTGGACACTCCCTCTGTTGTCACTCCCAGTCTTATCAAACATGTAGAGTCTGAAATGGCCTGGGTATAACATACGGTGGCCCTGCATCAATGGAGTGTCCACAGTCCTTTTATTTTATCTCCTGTTATAGCTGCCGGAGGCGGAGTATCCATGAGTAGGCCTTCAGGCCCATCATACTCTGTCTGCTTGGCTATTGCTTGTTGGCTTGAAGCTTTTTAATCTTTTTAATCTTTCTTTTTTGAGTTATAGTATCATTTTAACTTGGAGTTGGGGTGGGTAGAATTGAGCAATATGTGCTTGACTCTAAGTTAAGCCCGAGAATGTTTTTCCTTGACAGAGCATTCACACAGGGCAAATTGTGTCTTTCATCCCCAGTATCTGAAGGGAGGAAGGAGAATTACCACTAACAGAATAGCACTGAACTAGAATCAGAAATAAAATAATATATACTATATAGCTCTGGCAACAACTGCCAGAATGGTAGGGGCAGAAATAAACCTACAGGAAAATGTTTTAAAAGATAATTTTGTTTTTAAAACAAGGAATTTATTAAGAGTGAATAAAAATGATAAAGGAAAATGATGAAAGGTGTCAAATGAAGGCCCTAATTATAAAACAGAGTGTGTAGAATAAAATAATTCTATTAATCAGAGATGAAGAGAAAGCATAATTAAAGTAAAACAAGACCCATAGACCCCCCCAAAGGAGAAAAGGAACTCTCAAATACACACACACATATACACATACATAGACTCACAGAGTCACACATGCGCACAGATACATAAACACTTAGACACACACACACATGCAGACACACAGACACACACATATACATGCAAATTTATAGATACTCAGACACATACACACATAGACATACACACACATGTAGATACACACAGGCAGACACATACACACACACACATTCACACACACAGATACACACAGGCGTGCACATACTCATGCACACACATAACGCATGTGCATATAGACTTGTACATCAGCAAATACAGATAAACAAAGTAAGTGTTAAGTTAAAATATATTAAGATATTGTTCCCATTGGCGCAGTCGCACAGGCAGGAGGGGACACTCTCCCCCTTTGCCAGTCTCCCCTCCGTGTCTTCTTGGCCCATGTCCTCCATGACACACAAAGGCTGGAGATAGTCACCTCTTATTTTCCCCTATAGCACAGTCTGGCCAGCGGGGATGGTTTGACACCGAAGCCAACCGTAAATGTCTCCCTGTTTGCTAGTATAAGGCAGAGCGGAGCCTGCATGCCGTTCACTGGGATCCCTAGTGGGAAGATGGTCTTGATGTCATGCCAGGGCTGAGCTGAGCTCAGCTTGCTGGGCATGTTGTCTCTTTGCGTGTGCCTCCTCGGTGCACACACAGGCTTGAACAACAGACCATCACAATTGGACAATTTGGAGGTTCAGCTCTTGGATTATGCGTTTCTAAGTCCCGGTATCTGCCACCATGCGCGTACTTGCTAGTGTCTGGCCAGCTCTAGCTGCTGTCTTAAAGGGAAAGCCTGTCCTGCTCCACGATGTGTGCCAAACATGAATCCCACTGCATATCTTTTCAAGACACATTAGACTAGTGCTTCTGAGAGGTTCAGGCCTTACGCTGGCCTGCCCCTGTTACTTGGAAGAATGCACTCAGGCAGTACTCTGGACAGCCCAGGGTTCCGTGGGAGCTGGTCTGCGTGCAGGTGTAAAGGACCCCTTTAAGAGACAGACCCTGCCCACTTACGCCCTCTTGCTCTCTACCCTCTTACTCTTGTCTCCCTTGCTCTGCCCTTCACCAACCCCCTCTCGCGTGTCTTTCTCCCCCTCTCTCTCTACCGCCCTGTAATAAACTATGGTTAATGTATCCCCCATATCTCGTGTTCCATTGTGCGCCTTCTGACTTTTAAACTTAAGCAAAAGAACAGCAGCATCTCTTTGCCACCAGGCAGACATTTACAAGGACAATAAGGACAATGTGGCAAAATTTGCTGTGAGTTGCAAGGAACAGAAAACCGTGTGCTGCTCATCGGTCCAGCTCCTGGTTGCAGCTAAGACACACAGAGTATTTCCCCTGCCTATACAGACACACAGAGCATTTCCCTTGTGTCTACACACTCCGCAGCTCTCCAGCCGAGTTCGGGCTGCCTTGCTGTATCCATTCCCGGTTCAAGCTTGCACATCTCTTCTCTCCCTCTTCCCGGTTACTCCCCCCTCTGCTGTGCAGCTTGGCTGACTGAGGGTCCGTGACTTCGGCTCTCTCTGTTTTCATAACCACACTCTCCTTTCCTGAGATTGTCCAGCTTGAGCTCCCAGGTGTTTGCTTAGCCATCGCCTTGCAGAGAAGCCGTGTTCTGACTGTACCTTTTCCAAACCACTGAGAAGTTAGAAGCCTTACAGTTAGGGTTCCATAGGCTGGGTAGGCAGTTGGACATAAGACTTATGGCTTCATAGAGCTTCTGTATTAGAATTCACAGTGGCCCACAGGACTCCAGGCATGGAAGCAGAAGGATTACGAATTTAGGGTCTTCTTGTACCACACAGCAAGAACATGTTAGATACGAGGTCAGGGTGGTGGGATTATACGTATCAACATCACTGTAAATAAAATGAAGAGTCAAGCCACATACTGGGGATAGCTCTTCTCTGCAATCAGCAAAACATTATTGTCTGGAGCACAGAGAGGAGGGATGGACCAAATGAATGAAGGGGTTAATGAATGAAGGGGCTCATAAGAAAATCATGGATGAACTCTTTGAAGGCTTGTTAAAATCCAGCTTCCCAACCTACTATTGTTACTCCAATTGGGTATAGTGTCAAGCTGCCATTTAGTTAATGTCTCCAAACCCGTATTTTAGCGCAGCTCTCAGACCATATAAAGAAGTTCATTTGTATAATGAACCGTAAATAATGAAGAAACTCACGATTTGTCAAAGTGCAGAGAGCTCAGCCACCAGGGGGACATCTGTGCCATCCTCACCAAGCCAGGGACAGCATGGAAGAAGGAGCAGAAAGACTAAGCTAGAGGCCAAGGGACACCAGAGCAAAACAGTGTCTCCTGGACATGACAGGTGCACTACATTGATAAACTCACAGCAGCTGCGGGGGCCTGCATGAGAATTGCACGAGATCAAGTCAGTCTCACTGGTCCCAACCCCTAGCTGAGGACCTGTTGACCATTGACTGCTTCTGGAGAAGGGAGACTGAGTTTTCTTTAAGGGTATGGCACTTAGTAGGTCAGCCATTCCAGTGGATGAATCCATAGCCTTAAGTTTTTATTGGCAGCACAAATTGGACTTGGCAAGTTATTAAAGAAAAAAAAAGAGGGTATGAAGTTAAGAAGGGGGCTCAGGTCTGGGTTGAGTTAGGGAAGGAATGCATTGTATGAATGAAATTATTAAACAATTAATAGAGATATTATACTTTAATTGGTAAATTCGTTTATCAAACTGTTACTTCATTTTGACAAGTTATCATATGTAATTATTAGTCACGCCATGACGACATGTTATAGATATCCCATACTATGGATATGTTAGTCACCTTAAATACTTACCATTCATTCCCAGTGCCTAACTCAGCTGCGAACCTTCACATGACCTTTCCCCCAACGCCCCTCCTAGCTTCTGGAAACTACTCTTCTGTTCTGCTTTAATGAATCCTGTTATTTTTAAACCCCACATGTCAGTGACACAAAATGTTCTATATTAAACTGTGAAGAAATCTCAGCGGCTGATACTAGGTCGTGAAATTCCATAGGACCAGTCCTTTCCTGAACATGAAAATGGCTTTCAGGTTGGAATGAGACTAGAAGGCATCGATCCCCGGCGTCCGTCTGTGTTTTGTGTGCTTTCTGTAGCTGAGGTAAGAAGGGATGCTATTGCCTTGGGTTGATTTTGTGGTGATAGTTTTGTAGAAAATAACGAATTTCAGCACTTTCTCTGAAGAGTGAGTCCCACTTAATTGTTTTGGTCAATAAATCTATAAAAAACATACTTCTTATTAATTTTTTCTTAAGATAAATTTTCTAGTAAGGTTCTCCGTCAAGTAGTGTTTATCATTGAGTTAATTGAAAATTAGATCTTACCTACATTTGATAATAATCTAAGAGTGCCACAGTGACATAATTATTCATAGGTTAGCTGAATTGATGAATATGTATTCATTTCAATATACTCATTTTATGAAAATTATATACAGAGAACTGCCATTGATGAAAACAAATGGATTTTTAAAAAGTAATGTTTATGTACCATATTATTAAATCAATAAAAGATCTTTAAATTTATAAACGCATTGAACTAAGAAGTCATAGTCACATGTTCTGTGTGATGCTAATGGCTACTAGACTTGCATAGAATGTCTGGAGGAAGTATTTTTCAGACTGTCGTTCTTTTCTGTGTTAAATACGTTGGCTCCATGTGTTAAGGTCATTCCATATCTCAGGCTCAACTCTTTTGAGGTAGGAATTAAGCCCACCAGCAGACAGTAAGTTTTTAAAAGCAATATTTGGAATGGGTGAATTAATAGTCAGTTAATTGTCAATTGTTTTGACCCCAGATTCCTAGATTTGTCTAAAGGATATATTTTTGCAGAAAGTTCTAAGTACCCCTTCACCATCATTTTGATTGGGTCATATATCATATCACATACATTTGTTCTCTGGTGAAAATGTTTGGACCGATAGATGGATCATTTCTTGTTGATGATGTCAACTAAACACATGAATATTTTTTTGCCAGTATTTGAGTCCATTTCACTTACATGACTCATAATGAACCATTGTGAACTTTCTTGGTTTCAGGTGTGTGGTTACCGGCTGAGACTGCATTTTGATGGTTATTTGAGTTGCTATGATTTTTGGACCAATGCTGGTTCCCCGGACATTCACCCTGTGGGGTGGTGTGAAAAGACCAACCACAAATTGCACATCCCGAAGGGTAAGCCAGGGAGCATTTATCAGATGGAGGGAGGGGCACTTGTTATTTTGGGTTTATTTTAACACCATTTCATGAAACAGGGGAGCCAGGTGTGAATTGATTTTCCAAATGAAAGTTTGATCTCTGAAGAGACTAAGACCATGACAGTGCCTTGGAGATGAGTGTAAAAGAAAAGCCTGTATGCCTTTCTAAATCAAGTCTTCTAACTAGGAATTTATGGTAAAAAATATATATGTAACTGTTTGAGAACTCTTAATCATATATCAAGTCTATTAATCCTCATAGCAAAACATTGATGTCCAAATCATGTTTGAAATGAAATATCTCATTGGGAAGGGTCATGATTTACGCTAAATTTGCTGCAAGTTCGGGAATAATGGAAGGAATGAGACTATAAAATGCCATGGCCAGTCTTGTTCTGATGGGAAATGAAGTTTCGTGCTTTTCTTCTGTTTCCTGTGAGACCCGAGGGCCGGGCAGTGAAGGCTGATCCTTCATCACCATGAGATGCCCTGGACCAGCTTCTTCGGGCAACCACTGGTTGTGCATGGCGTCCTGCTGGGGAGTTAGGTTGCTGAGTAACTAACTGCTGCGTGTTTTGGATGTAGGGTGCACGCTCCCTCTTCTCAGGAATCGGCTCAGGCACTCTTGCCAGATGCCTGCGGCGGAGGCAGTCCCCTGAGTTGCTCCATTTGATGAGAGCTGGTGACAGTTGGCTCACTCATGCAATAGGCATTATGGACCTTTAGTGTGTTGGTACTTGGTACTGAACAACAGAAAATATAAAGCCTCAGGCTCCATGGGGCTATCCTTCAGAGGCGAGGAGGATGGAGGAAGGCCTCAGGACACTCCTTCAGTTGCTGTTATAGCCCTCCCTGAAGTCACAGGGTCCCAACACACCTTGATAAAATTTGAAAGCAGCTTGGGCCCAAGGCAAGAGAAGAAGCCCGAGTTGATGTCCCAGAGTGGGCAGGGTATTTGGCCAGGAGGCCACCTCAAGAAGACTAGTGGTAAACCATGGTGGAAAAGAAAGTAAAGCTTATTAATGTGTCAATGTAGTCTTGAACTCTGCAAAGAATTTGGTGTGTGGGTTCATAAGAAAATACTCACCCTGTGTAATGTGGGGCTATCTGCTGCAAGTGCAGAAACCACATCCCTTACCTTAAAGGGAGAGAGAGAGATTTTATTCTGGAGCCATTCATAGTGACCATGTCCTGGGAACACATATGCAGGTTAACCCAATTGCCGTGTTTCTATGTGGAAACAATTCCATCATGTTTTAATACTTTTGCAGAACAAAGAAAATCATAGATAAGGCAAGTTTGCAATGCATTGGTGGATAAATCAGAGGGGCAGGTGAAGCCAGATGGGGAAACTCTCTGATGAGACTAAGATGCTATCTGATGACATTTTTTAGCTTTGGGGTTGGTGAAAGCTAGAGATCTGCTAAGTCAATAGATTCCAAAAGGATTTTTACCCATTAGTTACAGGGTTTTTGTTCTGATGCAGAGGAGGGCAAGGAATGGCTGTTACAGATTGTTAGAACTACCCCAAGGTAGGGTAACTAGCCTCTGAACCTGGAACATTCCGACCTACCCACAGTACCAAAATCCCAAGGAGCCAGTCAGATAGTCTGTGAAGACACACTTCTTCCCAGAAATTCTTGTTCACACAGGTCACATGGATGGGAAGATAAGACATTTTTACTGGGTAATTTATGAAGATTAGGATAGAAAGTCGGACCTGCCAAATGGTCTTTGAATTTGGCAGTGCTGGGTACTGAGCCCAGGGTGGCATTTGGATTGTGAGGGGGTTCCTAATTTCTCCCAAGCGTCTGACCATTCGAACTACTAAAGTATAAGGACCTCTCTTTGTCTTTGTGATGTGGCTTTCCTGGTGAGTGGCAGCCACTCTGTGACTCCAGTATCTCACTTTTTGCCTGTCCTTAAAAGCCCAGGGCTGGAGAGGGGGCAATGTTGTATCTCAGTGGACATTAATCATCTGTGTGGACCGACATATATTATGGAAACTACACTCAACAACTTTGAACTTAAGACATTTAAACAACATGAAAACAATTTAGAGATTTTAATGTAAATCACTTGTGATGAGCTGAGGCATTGCTGAATATATAACAGAAGATTAAAACTAGGAATAATATATTTAAAATATATGTGAGAATGTCTTGTGGGTATTTTGAATAGTGTGTACTTTTCTAGGTTATAGAAAAGATAAAATTGTTTGGATGGATTACTTGAAGGCCTGTAGATTGCAAAATGCTCCTAAGAAATTATTCAGAAACAGAAGTTCTGTGAGTATCTTCTCCTCCCTGTAAATCCTATTCTTCCCCAAGTTTAAGTTCCTTAAAATTTGCTTTATATGCTATTATATTTTAATCCTAATACATTGAAAAAGCCCTCCCCTGGGCATATAGATTTTTATTTTGTTTTGGCTTGCTTTTTTTCTCCTTTAGCATTGCAATTATTAAATGCAGAACACTTAATTTACATCAAGCCTGCTAAAACCTATTTAAAACATCTTTCATGGATATTTTTGCTTGCGAGACATTAGTTTCTTAAGCTTAATGTTGGTGTTTAGAAACGAGTGGACACTCCAGACGAACTCTGTCGCTTGTGTCGCACAGTTGGATCTAAGCATGGTGAAAACAAAGGAAGCATTTCGGCAGATTCAGGGCTGCTGCACTGTACTTTTCTAGAGTAGACTCCTCCCGCATCCCAAGCAACTCAGTGAACCTTCAGTGGAGAGTGCAAGTGGATTGACTGCTCAGCCATTCTCTGTCCTCAGCAGTGAGTCGTCACTTTGGGGGAAGGTGACGCAGAGCAGAAGTGAGGACTGGGCTCTGCCCTCTAGGAACCCTCTCCCTCCTGTGCTTGGTGCCCCCAGCTGGGCCCTACCCACTGAGGGTCCTATATCTAGTGCGCTTCTTACTGAAAGTAAGTTTCACTTTCCCAATTTTGATATTACTACTACGTGGCCCTCATAGATTTGTGTGTCGAGGAAATGGACTTTACTGATATGAGATTGACCTAAAGACAGAATCCACTGGAAGATAAAGGGATAGACCAAAGAATCTTTCTTCCAGTTCCAGCATTGTATGTATCTTAAAGCTCCAAGGCTGGGTAATTATAGCTATTTCATATAAAAGATAGGGTTATATTAGCCGTAATCTGTATCTTCTGCTACGAACATGCACACATTAAAATCATTTGTATTTGTATCTATAATTTTCACAACACAATACATTCTTTAAATTTTGAGGAAAATACTAGTTTTGAATCCCATTATCAAATTAAACAATATTTTTTGTGTGTGTGCTAAAGAGCATAATCTGATCACTTTTCAGAGGTTGGTATTTGGAAATTTCGTTAGCCTATGGGGAGTAGATGCTACATTCCTCATTTGATGTAACTGTGTTCAGTAAGCATTGAATCTTAGAATCCATTCCCATCTAAGAACTGAACAGGGAAACATGAAGATGATAAGAAAAAACTATTTCCTTATATAACTAAAGTGGGAAGCCAGTGGGAAGCTGGTGACCTTGTTATAAATGGGGGAGCCTTTCCCTGCTCCCTTCCTGAGTCAGGTGTGAGTAAGCGTTGCTTTTGTGTAGATCTTGTTGGTTCTTAAATGCCATAGAAATTCCCACGGCGGTTCAGTCCCCTTGGCTGACTGTTTGTTTCTGTGTCTTTCCCCCACTCACTTGCTACGTTAGAATGTGCCAGTGCCCAAGGAGTTCCAGGTTGGGATGAAACTGGAGGCTGTGGACAGAAGGAACCGTTGCTTGGTGTGTGTGGCGACCATTGCGGACATCATGGAAGACCGCATCCGCGTGCATTTTGACAACTCCGATGAAGGCCTTGATTACTGGTGAGACATCAGTATGCATGAGCTTTGCCTGCACCCATGTTTAGTATTCACAATTCATCTTCCCAGGGCTGTGACTGTTTTTACGGTTACTCACATCAGGAATTCATCAGTGGAATTTTCGCCACCTTTCTTCCCCATGGGTTGTTGAGTTAAAGAGCACCTCCTCTGCTCCCTGTTCTCCCTATCCTGTGTGAAGTTACTCCTGACCCAATGGAAACAGCTCAGGGCTTTCAATTGCTCTTATATTTTGTCTCATTTGTAATAGAAATATATTTGAGAGGAGGGACTTAAGAAATTGCAAGGTTGATTTTTTTTGTGTGTATGAGGGGTAGGGTCTGAAAAATATTGAACCCAACCTTGCACACGAAATATCCAAGGAAAATGGGAGTAAAGGACATTGTGCTACAGAGCCATTAAGGTGACTTTGCACAAGTTGAAAGTGCTTACTGTGTTAAAAACCTGAAATATGGAATCAGTAGTGGCAAAAATGTTTTTTGGGGGGAGGGGCACATTTCCTGTGCGTGTCCTGAACAGCTGACAAATCCCTGCCTTGGTTGTAGCTCTGCAAGCGCCCGATGAGAGTCTGGTTTTTTCCTTTGAACTAAGAATCAGGACACAGAGTAGTTGTTGTAGGTGTCTTAGACATAGTATTGGCGATCCTTGGGAGAGTAAAAGGAGGAAGGATGTAGCTATCTTGGGTCTTGTTCATGTCTGTAACTTCCTGCTATTAGTTGGCCTTGTTAGTAGTCAGCGTGGGTGGAAGACTGCTTAGGACAGTGACCCAAGGTTCACCTGCAGTTGCTCCATGCCAGCCCCTCCCCAGTTTACTCTGTAGTTTCAAATTTAAGGAAGTTGTGAAAGTAAGAAGTCGGGTCTCCCGCTTTAAAGGGATGTGCTTGAAGTTGTTTCTAGCCTCTGGTAACTACGGAGTGCGGTTCCCCGTGGAAACAGCTACGCCCAGCTTGGCCATCTCTCTCTCTTTGATTCCGTGTTGGTTCCTGTTTGTCATTGTGATGGTGTCTCCGAAGGAGCAATGTAAAGGAAGAAGGGTTATTTTGGCCCCATGTTTGAGAGGGGCGGGAGAGGCTTGGTGATGATGGAGGAGCTTCTGGCCGGGGCAGTGGGAGCTGCAGTGGTTGTTACGCCGTGTGCTCGTTGAGGGGGCTGAACATGAAGGCCAGAATAAGGGTTAGGATATAATGGCCCAGCTCACTCCCTGGGGTCCTCCATCTGCCAGTTGTGCACCAGACCCAAAAAGGTTTGTCAACCTTTAGAACTAGCGTTGAAGGTGGGCACCAAGGACTAAGTGTGTAGGGGTCATCTCACACGATTCTTCCCTTGACACCGAGTACTATGAGTGTAAGCACAGAATCCCGGTTTTTTTTTTGCAGGTATGACGTTGACAGTCCTCATGTCCAGCCTGTTGGTTGGTGTCAGGAGAATGGAAGAACTCTGGTAGCACCCCAAGGTGAGCAGAGCAGTGTCCCTTGAAGTCATCTCTGTGTGAGTAGATAGTCCCTGTTTTACATTACGGTGACAATGTGTCATTGCATGGCGAGTGGATTGAAATACTTGGAAATGCCATCGGCCACCCAAAGTGTCTAAAGCCTGCACGGGCTGTAGTATTTATAGAGTGTATTGGGCAGGATTACAAAGCTGAAACAGTTTTTAGCTCACTGGGTGACTACCTCTGCCAAGGAAGGGTATTTGGATCAGCTGTTTCCAGGTATGCATCTTATAACTGAATTCGTTAATCAAATGGTAAGATTATTAAATGTCTTTTACTTTGGAGCTAGGTGTAAAAAATAATATTAAAACGTGGAAAGTAAGACTTAATGTGTGCCCTGACGTGCCTTTTAACAAGCCAACCTAATGGCTTACCTGGAGATGTAAATGAGTCCTCTTCCCAGTTACTGTTTTAAATTGTAGAAGTGCTGAGAACTATTTAGAGACTTTCTGCATAACATCCCTTTGTTTTCAGATTTGGCATTGAGTAAGGATGGATGGTAGCAGGTAGAATTGTGGTAGAGGATTCCTCTAGCATGCTTGGAGATCATGGGTTCAATCCCCAGTACCAGGCCAGAATGGAAAAAGAAGGAACTGACCAGAGAGTGTTTAGTTTTAGCATCTTTAATACAAATGATCATGGAGAAATCTGTTTTCTTTCGATATGTAGTATACGGGAATAAGTGTAGAAAACAGGATACAGCATCTATAATGTAGCAGCTTTTTGGTTTGTAGCATGAATAATTATGGGCTTTTTTTAGTTCTTTTTAAGTCCTAAACAGAAACGGAGGAGGAGTGGGTAATGGGAACAGAGGAAAGCTTTGGGGTGAGAGAATGGGAGTAGAGGAGGGAGGGGAAATGTCTGGGCTGTAAAACAAACAAACAAACAAATAAATAAGTAGATAAATAGATTTATTGAAGACAAAATTCAAAGCATTTTTGTATTATTGTACAAAGTAAAGAATGTTTCATGGACATTTCCAAGTGTGCTTATAATATATTGAGATCACACTCATCCCTTTATTTTGTCTTCTTTTTAATTGAAAATATATTGTTTCATACCATATGTTCTGATTATGGTTTCTCCCCCTCCTACCCCCAGATGCTCTACACATCCCCAATTACCCAAATCTATACCCTTTCATTTTCTCTCTTACAGAATACAAACATGAATATAAAAAATACTAAATAAAAAAAACAGAATAGGACAAAGCAAGCAGTTAAACAGAAAAAAAGCCAAAAAGACCCTACTCCTCATACTGAGTGACCTGGCCCAGCCTTAATGTATGGGGAAGCGCTTAGTCTGACTGCAGCTTGATATGCTGTTTTGTTGATACCCACGGGAGACCTGCCCTTTCCTGAACAGAGACTAGAAATGCTATGAAGTAGAGGTGGGACTTTCAGTTGGGTATTAGCTAGATACAGCCATCCCATTGTTGAACACACAAAAAGGACTCTCCATCTCCCTACAGAGATGCTTCCTCATCCATGTTCGTTGCTTTGCTATCCATAGAAGTCAGAAATTGGGCATAGCCAGGTTGTCCATCAATGGTAGATATTGAAAATGCAGTACATCTACGCTATGGGATATTTTTCGGTTACTAAAAAAAAGTTGTGATGTTTTCATGTAGATAAATACAGCTAGAAGCAATTATCCTGCACGAGGTAACCCAGACCAAGAAAATACACATATTGTGTATTTTCTGTCATATGTGTGTATTAACTTTTGAATGTCAGAGATGTGAGCTCCATTTGGGACCAAAGCTGTGCTACATAGGTAGTAAGGGGCTCCAGCTTGTCAGAGCACCTTACAGAAGGACTGAGCCACCCCCCCACACACACTCCAGAGAGCAATGGGTCACTGGTGAGTTGGACTACAGGCTCAGGTGTGCATATCTTTGGCTCAACTTTATCTCACTTCAGGACCCCAAAGATGGACTTGGCAGGGATCACTGGATCTCCATTTCTCTTTGCAATGAGGCCACATTGAATAAGCCTCCATTTTCCTCTGTTTCCAAAACATTATCCTGCTGGATCTGAAGCAGAATCTCATTGTGGTTTTGGGTTTGCCCTGTTCATCAGTTACTCCCCCTGGACAGCTTCTCAGGTGCTCATCCACCTCCTGTGTGTTTCCTTAGGAGGAATGTCTACTCAGATCCCCCATTCACGTTGAACTGTCTTGTGTTATTATTTCAAAATTATGCCACCACTGTTGTCTAAAAGTGAGTGTCTTCTGAGTGGGTGATCATGCAGGAACCAGACAGGTGGTTTCACACATCTTACTTCACCTCAAATGCTTTGTTTTCACGGTCTTTTTAACGGATGTGCTTTCATTTTAAGTGTGTATTTCTGTCTTTGTGAGTATACGCCATAGGCTTGCAAGATGCCTTCAGAGCCCAGAAGAGAGTGTCTGATTTCTCGGAACTGAGGTTGCAGGCAGCAAGGTGCCACCTGAAGTGGGTTTGGCCTCTAGGAGAGCACGAAGTGCTCTTAACTGCCGAGGACTTTTCCCAACTCATATTTTCACATTCTTCATGTTGTCCTCTGGGTTAATTCCATGTTTCGGTAGTGGGGTGTTTGGGGAAGACAGTCTTTATAAAGAAAACAGACGACTGTGCAGGGTGTTGGAGCCTTAATGGTATGGGGTCTGGGCCAGTTCACTTCTGCTAAGGGTTGTGTCATGCTGTGACAGGTGATGGATGGCTGATGGCATTGGCTGGGAGGCCAGTAGAAGCAAATGGCCTCATCCCGAACAAGGGCAGAGAGAGGAAAGGCGAGGAGGTAAGGCCTTATCCTTTTAAAACAGCCCTCGAGAAGGAACTCGGCCGGCCCCTAAAGAGCATCTCAGGACCCCAGTGACTCGCAAATCTTCCCCAAAGCCTTGCATCAGAAAGATCTGGCCACTTTCTACTATGCCACTCTGTGGACAATCCTTAAAAGACTGGGACCACTCTTAGACCACAACATCCTCTGATATATAATATTTAAATTATCTAGTTTTTGTGTCTCTTAGTTTTAGTGTTAACTCTGAGCATTTATTGTTAAATCTCAGATCAAAAGAGTAACTGGATTTCTACATTTCTTCTTCTTACATTTAAATCATTGAACTGTGTTTAATGAGTTGTAGCACGTGACGCAAGACAGGGGTTCCATTAATTCTTTTGAATATGTTATCCAGTTCCCAAACACCATTTCTGAAGAGACTTTTCTTTCCCCTTTGAATGGCCTGTGCAACAGTTTTGAGACTAAATTTACCATAGAAGATTGGGTTCATTTCCGGAGTCACGGTTTCTGTGGCATTAAACAAATGCAAATACAGTATTCTAGTGCAACAAACCAATGCAAAAGAAATATAAACAATATTTTATCCACTTTGCAGCACCACTTTGCAATCCATTTTGCAACTAGAAATTGTAAATTCTTCAAATTTACTCCTCATTTTGAAGACTATTTTGTTTATGGGGACCCTTTAGCGCTTATATGAGCTTGAGGACTGGCTTTTTTCCTGAGAAATAACTTATCATTTTGATAGGGTTGAATCAAATCTGTAGGTTGCCTTGGAAAATAGTGTGTTTACTGCTGAGTTTTCTGATTCATAAAGATGAGGTGTTTTCAATTTATTTAGGCTTTGCTTTTGTTCTGTAATGCTTTATAGTTTGTAGCTTTCCTTTTTTTTAAAGTTTCTAGGTGTTATTATAGATGGAATTGTTTTCTTAATTACTTTGGTATTATTGTTATCAAGTTGAAACACATACATACCCTGTGTGTTTGTGCTCTGTCTTGCAAGTTTGCTGAATTTTTTTATTCAACACATGTGTAATTTGTGTCTCTGAACGTCTCCATGGGGTTTCCAGACATGCCGTCGTGTGTCACCTGTCACGGGACATGCTCTTACTCCTTCGTTTGCGTTCCACTGAGTTTTGCTGAGCTTCCTTGCCTGGTTGTTCTTCCCGTGTCTGCAGCATAAGGCTGGAAATGGAATGTTCTTGATTTGTTCCTTAGGAAGAAAAATCACACATCTCCCAGTTGCTATGACACAAGCTTTATTTAAGTACTTGATCTTCTCGGGCTGAGGGGTTTCCTTTTCTCCTAGTTGTTTTCACTACTACATCTGGAACACTCGTGTGCTCACTTGCCTGTCACTACCGGGCACTGCCCCCTTCCCACATAAAACAAAGCAAGCCCCGCCCCTTGCTGACTTTATCCACTGTTTTCTCTGCATCTTTGGAGATGATTTTATTGTTTATCTCCTTTGTCCTTTTCTGTAATAATTACGTTGATTGATTTTCCTAGGATGAATTGTATTCTGGGGGGTGGGGGAGAGAGAAATCTAGCTGATTATTTCATTCCATCCTCTTAATGCAGTTTGCTAACAGTTTGTTGAAAGATTTTTGTGTGAATCCATATGGTCTATTGTTTTCTTATCTTTTTTCTCAACACTTTTCTCTTTTATAGTGTTGTAGAGGAAATTGCTGTTGCTTTTAATTTTTGCTTGTTTATTCTTAGTATTAAAATACAGTTTGTTTCTTCAGGTTGATTGCCTACCCTTCAGATTCCCTGAATTAGTCTATTGCTCTCCTAGAGTAGTCCTTATGATTTTCTGTCTGCGAAATCACAGCATATGGAGGTGGGGATGCTTCCATTTGCTCATGCGCATTCTGAGTGGCCTTTGCTTCTTGTCCAGTATAGCCCTGGTGGTACGCCACAGGACAAAACTGGAAGAGCCACCCAGGTTCTTTCCTCCCAATTTTAGGAAAAAGATCTCGATCTTTCACAGTTAAATATGACTGCTCACTGTGGGTTTGATCAGATGAAAGGACTTCCTTTTGTTTTTAGTTTAAATACTTTAATTTTTAAAAATTCTGTTAACTTGATATTATTTTATTGACCGATGCTCATGCTAGGGCAATCTCATATTCCTGGGACAAATCTTACTAGAAGTAATTATTGTGTTGCGTTATTTTAACATAGTGTCTTATTATTTTAGAACTCCGCACATTCTTAGGATGAATGTTGATCAACTGATCACACCCAATCCTTTCTGTAACACCTCTTAGAACTACCCTCCATCTACCACCCCTTCGCAACTCTGTGGGGCTTTTCCCAGCCTCCCCCACCCTCTCTGTCTCTCCTGACAGTTCACTGAGTTTGATTTGTTCTATCCTTGTCCACATGGGGGTTTGACCCTCCACTGTACCGTGGCTGGCCTACTAGATTCTAAATAAAATGGAGTCACTGAATCTTCTCCTAAATAAAAATGATTCTTCTTGTCCCAGCAGCCATTGCATATGAGTAGCTACTCAGTTAGAGTTGAAGATGCCTGAGCTTCCCAAAGACTGACAGGCTTGGCAGACAGCCACAGCTACAGTGAATTCATGAGTGCATTGGTTTTGTCACAGTAGCAAGACACTGTTTCCCCACAGTACCCCCATGCATGTGGCTCTTCGTGTCTCCTTGTTTGTCCTTGATTCTCCAGATATTTTTGGGAGGGCAGGTGTGTGATATAAATGCTATAATTGAAAATTCTGTAACACAAATATGTTACACTGATGTGGACTGAGAGCTGCACTAATATGTGGGTATAGAGAATCTTTGAGAAGGTGATTTAAGATTATGTCCATTCAGCAAAATAATAGTGGGCTCACCTCTGGGGCCTGTGAACTCCTGAGCAGCAATGGGGTCTTGGACAAATTTATAGATGGCCTATGCATTTCTTCTGTGGAATGGGCCTTAAATGTGATCAGTCATTACCCAATAACACTCATGCCACTATTGTACTCTTGAGCATGTCTTGCCTGGTTTTGACTCCAGTTCTCACAGAATACCCTGTGGGACGAGAACTTTGACTTTTAGCCCCAGCTGGTTCATGGAACTCAATGTGTGATGGGGATTTGACTCCCCTGAGACATCCTGGCAGTCAGCATGTGGCCACGTAGTCATGCTGTCACATTGGCAACACAGGATCATCTCGGGGATCCCAGCCAGGAATCAACGACAGGATGTCCCAGTCTCCACAGCCGAACTTCATGTAGACTTCCTCTACGAAGAGTCACAGAAAGCAAGACAACCAAATAGAGTTGGAAGAGAGGGAAGTTATAACCAGAATGAAAATGTAGTATAATTGATGCAGAGAACGCAACAAAGAAACAAAGAACATCACAAAACAACTTCTCACCTCGACCTATCCTCAACCACCCAAATCCCTGGTAACAGAACCCCAAATCGCAGACATAACTGAAATGCATGAAAAAGAACTCAGACTAAGGGTCACTTAGAAGTCTGAAACACAGATGCATAGACTAAGGGAATCTACCCAAAACCTCTGTCAAGGTCATCCCCAGAGTGAATAGAACAGTAAGTTAGAGGAGGAAGTGCAAACTATGGTGGAGAAATTCAGCAAGAAAACTGAAGTGTTAAGAAAGAGCCAGATAGAGCAATGGTGAGTGTAAACAATGGCCAATCAGATAGAAACCATATGGGAAACCCATTACCAGACAAGACCTTGAAGAACAAATTCAAGCTGGAGGCCAAGGCTGAGACAGGGATATAAGCAGAATAGATATGGGAAAAAATTAAGGAGTACAACCAAGATTTCCATGAATTCTGTGATACATTTAAGAAGCCAAACGTAGAGTCTATGGGGTAGAAGAAAGAGTAGAGATAAAGACAAAAGAATAGACAGACTATTTAATGAAATTATAGCACAAACCTAGAGAATTTCTAAACCTAAAGAATGAATTGGACTTCCAAACAGAAGATGCATGTATAGCCCCAAAAGCATGTAACCAGATAGAAATTCTACAAGACACATCTTAGTCTTGATTTCAAAAATACAAAGTAACAAAACACACACATTTACTACTAAAAGAAAATCGACAACCCACATACAAAGCAGGGATGTCAGAATAATTTCAGGCCTTTCATCAGAAAATCTAAAATCCAGAAAAGCAGAAAATAATATTTTTCAACTCTGAAGGTAAGTAACTCTGAACCATGAATGCAAACCCAACAAGATTATCTTTCAGAATTGATGGAGAAGTAAGGATATTTCAAGATAAAATATTTTGCGTTATAGATTTTAGAATTGAGATCCTTTACCCATATATGCTTCATATTTAAATATAATACAATAAAAATGAAATTAAGCATTGTGCATATGAATGGTTTGTTTCTGGTAGCAATTAGCTCCAAATGTTATTGGTTGAAAATGTTTTACTGAAAATGAATTTATCTTTTGAACATTACTTATGGTTATGGATTTTAAACATGTTTAAACATAAATATGTTAATGTGTATAGATTATAAAATTTTATGTCTCCAATTAAATTGTTGTCAGAAAAGTATATTTTCTTTATTTGCTAAAGCTTATGCATGTCTAGAGGCAATTCAAGCTTTTGAAAGCAAAACAGCATGTGTTGATCTGTGTCTCTACCCCTGGGGTTTAGGCAGATTCTGTGGGTTCCACACAACAGGAATGGGTAGGTTGACAGGGAGGGATGGTAGGGAGACCATTTGTAACCCTGTGACAGGAAGATGCAAAGTCATTTCACCGATACACTTTCAAGTGTCAGCGACTGTTTCCATTGCTCTTCCACAGAAGACAGGCAGAAAGCAAGCTTCCTTTTGTTCCTCGGAGAAGCTTTGCCTGAGATTTGAATTGGAATGATAAGTAGGTAACAGGTAGACTTTTAGGAAACCTGTCTAACTGCATGAAGAAGTAATGGTACCCTCCAAGGGCAATCATGTCTCTCAGAGACGGATGGTGTCTGCGGGGCTGGTAATGCTAAGTCAAGAATCAGTTCCTGATGAACAGGGTAAATCTGGTTCTTTCACTAAAATACCCACAGTCTTCGATGAAACATCACAGAGCCACCTCTTAGCAGTGAGCATAGAGGCCAGAGAACTGGAAGGGGAAGTGAGGGAGGAAAAAAAGGAAGGAGGAAGAGAAGGGTTATAGAAGACTTGTGATGGAAGTTGACAGGGCTCTGCTGGGGATGCCAGGGGGCATGTGTGCATGGGGCGGGGGCATGTGTGCATGGGGCGGGGGCATGTGTGCATGGGGCGGGGGCGGGGGAATGGAGAAATGAGTTAGTCTGTTACCCAAAGCTCAGCATGTGTGAGAATGCTACCAGGAAACTTTTGGCTCCATATGCTAATTCCATGAATAAATAAAAATTCCACTCTCTTGAAGAATGCCACATAGATTGCCAGCTGGAAGGCACCTCCCCTAACCCCTCATTTCTGATATCCAGAACAGAGCTCCCATTTATAAAAATCTCTGAGAGTTTGTCCATGTATGTGAATTTACATTGTTCTGCACCACTCAGTGTGTGTCAGTCATCAGTTTCAACAGGGCTAGGAGACTTTCTTCAGCAGGCTGTGTGGCAGGCTGTCCTGTAGTTAATAAGAAGACCCTGCCTCCCACCCATCCCTTATGAACCCAGCAGGCCTCAGTGAGTGTCAGGAAGCGTGTTCGTGGCGGCACGGCTGGTTTCCCGGAGACGTAGCCAAGGCAGGAGGACCTCTGCAAACACAAATTGCTGCTCACTTTGGAGTGTTTACTGCAATCCTTTCAAGATGGACTTGGGTCTTCCACAGTGATGGAGAATGACATAGGATCTTGTTCTAAAGGAGGAGCCTAGTTCTTCTCTAACAGCTTTGCTGAAGTGGAAGCCAACAACTGTGTTGGTCATCCATTTATAGTTTACATGGTCAATATTTTTGCCGTATTTATAGAGTTTTGTGTAACCATTATCATATTCATTTTGACAATACTTTCATCACCCCGTAAAGGAATCTCCAGTAGTTACTGATTCTTCTACCATCGTTCATCTTTTCAAGTTCTGGAAAAACACTAGTTTACTTTGTGTCTTTACAGTTGGGCCTGTCCCAGACCTTTCTTGTGAGCAAGGACATACTACGTTACCTTTGTGCCTGGCTTCTCTGCCCAGGAGCGTTGTGTTTTAGTTTCATCCACAATGCCCCTGCCTCACTGCACCCTTTATTTTCATCAGCTTATAGCACTAAATAGACAAACCACAGCTTGTGTCTCTGTTCATCCATTGGCGGGCATTCAGGTTATTTCTACTTTGAATAATGCTATCGTGAATGTTTGGCTTTGTTTGGATGTACACTTTCTGTTCTCTGGCTGTTGACCCGGGGATGTAGGCGTTGGGTAATTTAGTAGTTCCCTGTCCAAGTTACCGAGGGCCCACCCTGGTGTCTTCCATGGTGCCACACTGTCTACATTCTCCTTAGCCTCGCCTGGGGTTTCCTACTCGTCTGTGTCTTGACTGACACTTGCCTGCCTTTTTACATAAACCTGTCATATTCGGTGTGAGGTGGAGTCAGGTTTTCAGGGGTCTCTTTTTTTTCTCAATTTCCCAGTGTGGCAGAGACTTTCACACGGTTGTCTGTTTTCAAAGCAGCGTTGTGCCGTTTAGGTAAGTTATCTTGTTTCCCTTTGTGGAGACCTGGTGCCAGAGAGATGAGGGGACCTGCCCATGTGCCAGTGTTTCCAGAACTTTTCCCTTTCCCCTCCACCAGACCACACAAAGACTTACGCTTGGACATCCAAGTGCAGCAGAAGGGCAACTCCAGGGTTCCACCAGGGACACAGAGTGAGAGCTTCACGATAGAGATGATGCCCGAGTCAGTCTCTGATGGCGTGAGAAGTCTGGTGTAGTGGGAAGGACTCTCAGATATAAGGAGGTAGACATAAAACAAAATGGCGGAAAGCCCCCACCTGCAAGAGAGCCAGGGTTCACCGGGATTAGCACACTTGGCTGCAGGGCCTGGCTGGAGGAAAGAGGAGAGGAGGCAAGGAGTGGTGCTGAATACTGAGCTCAAATTGATGTCTGGTGGCCTCGTAAAGAGCTTTACAGTTGCTGGCGGTTTCTTTCCAGCCTGGTCCCATAGCCATTTAGCCCCAAATAAACACCCAAAGACATTTATTAATTATAAATCTGTTGGCTGATGGGTAGGGCTTCTTATTGGCTAGCTCTGTCTCAATTATTAACCCATTTCTATCAATCTATGTATTACCACAAGACTGTGGCTTGCCCAGTAATGCCCCAACGTGTGGTTACTCCTTTGGCAGCAGGAGTAACAGATGACTCTATGTGGCGGGCACTCTCTGCCTACCTTTCCCAGAATTCTCCTTGTCTCCTAGTCACACCTATCTTCCTGCCTTATTGGCCGAACAGTGTTTTATTCACTAACCAGAAAGAGAAACATATATGCAGAAGGACATCCCCCTATCATCTCCTCTTTTCTGTCTAAATAAAAAAGAAGGGTTTTGACTGTAACATAGTAAGATTATATGTAACAAAACAGTTATCAAGTAAGAACATAGTTAACACTTTACCTTAAATCACCTTAAATCTTAGATCTTTTAATGATTCAGAGCAATTGTGAAAAGAGTAAAAAAAAATCTTGCTACCAGGCTAAATGATTTTGGCTGCCGTAACAATATATCCTCCGTATAAAAACAAATCAGCAGGAAAACAAAACATGCAAAGATTCAAGATCACCCGTCGCACTCATGCCTCGTTTGTACCCTTCAGAGACGCAAATGCGCTTCGTTCTTCCTCGATTTTATGCACTTCACGGTTGTGTGAGGGCCTCCTTCAGGCCAGCAAGTTTGGAACATTCTCCTCAGACTTGTCGGACACATCCTTGTGACTAGACAGAGTCCGTGCATTTCTCTACAGGGACGTCACAGGATCCCTGCCAATGGCCGTGGTTGTTCCCCTCATATCCTGGCGGGTGGTGTGCATAGCTGCCTGCCTCCTTCCTGTCAGTGGTTGCTATGGTTGCAGGCCAGAAGCGGGGGCGTGGGCATGGGCGGGGCAGGGTGTGGTCCAAACTTCTCCACTGGACGACTGAATCCATATCCAACGGCAAGTTACTCCAGGATTAAATAAGCGTTCTGTTTTCTCGCCAAGTTTATGCTCACTAGCTTGTAGCATTCACCGACAGTTATCGGGTTAATTGGTGTGGTGCTTGCCGGAGGGAGATGTTCGAGAAACCTGAGTCCTCCTGTGTTTACCGGTTGGCATCTCCTTCCCCCTTCCCCGTCTGTCATTTCCTTTGCATCTCTCCTCTTTGAGCCGTGAAGGAGTCTTGGCCCCTGCTTTGTTAAAGGGTGCTGCTGTGTTCTGTCCTGTAGGTTATGTGGGGGAATGAGCTGCCTTTCTTGATGACATCAAGGCTGGTGGCAGATGGAGACGGGGAGAGGTCCAATTGTTAAAGGAATCTGAGATCATTATAAAGAATGACAAAGCCGCCCATCAAAGAGAAAGAGGGAGGAATGCTCTGTGGGGAACTGCATGGTGGCGGCTTATGGTTCTGTGACAGATTCACATACCTACAGTGGGTTTGTTATCCTGAAGTTCTGGAGAGCTAGAGTTTGAAATGGGCTTCAGTTCAGTGTTAAGACTATCAACGAGAAGTCAGGGAGGGAGGGAGAGAGATCGAGGCCGCTGTTTGCAAGATCTTTTGAGACAGTACCGAGGAGCTTACGATAAAGGCTGTGATTTAGATATGTCTGGGGAGAATTCTGCTGGCAACAGTAGGCCAGATTAGAGAGGATAGCGGTAGGGAAAACACAGTGGGATACTTATATCATGTTAGGCTTAATTATGACTTGGTGTATTGTTTTCATTTGGAAATTAAGCATGACATAAGAAGATACGATTGCGAGCCATGTTGACAAGGGCTGGACATGTGATAGCTAATCTTGGTTGTCAACCTGACTGCACCTGGAATTAGCTAAAAACCCAAGCAGCTGGGCAAGCTTGTGAGGGATTTTTCTTGATGTATTATTTGAGTCGGAACACCCACATGAAATTTGAACCATCTGAGGTCAGAAGACTCATCCTAAATCTGGGTCACTCTTTCTAGATCGCATAAAAAGACAGACGAAGAAAAACAAAGTCTTTGATTTTGCTTCACGCCCTCACTCTTGCTGGCAAGCTCATCCATCCCATGTCTGAGGAATTACATGGCTGATATCAGAACTTACTTTGGGATTCCAGCATATACTGGAAACTGGCGGCTCTGGAGGACCTCCCACAGATTCAGCGCCAGATTGTGATTTGTGGGCCATCCAGTCTTATGGAGTGAAAAACTAATGCATCCTTGGCCTTTCTGTTAGGAGACAGCCATTGTCGGGTTATATGGGCAACCGTCTGTGTGTGTGTGTGTGTGTGTGTGTGTGTGTGTCATATGTACACATACATATGCATTGTTTTGTTTCATCAGCTCTGTTCCTTTAGAAAACCCTGAACAATATACAGGATCTATAAACAGAGAAGGTCAGGCCTTTGCTAGGGCTGTGGGAATGGACCAGTTTGGGATTGTTTCTCACTCAATTTTGCAAGATCCTGGGTGAGAAGTCCCCTATGATCTCTTTATCCAGAGTTCCTGACTCTGGCTCTGTGGGTTGGTGGAGCAGGGAAATAATTATGTTTTTTTCCCTGGTCAAAACTCTCTTTTCTAGAGAATACCAGTCCATCACACAGCATGTACATCTTAATGTGATACCAGCTAGCCAAACAGAAAAGAATTAAACTTGCTCTCCCTTCTATGGACAGTACAACACCCACAGAAGAGTCTATATGGGCCAGAACAGAAGGTGGAAGAGAGTACAGGCTCAGAAATAAACTCTATATGCCAAAATGATTGTAGCAAGGGTGTCAAGGCCGTTCAATGGGGGAAGAAGAACTATTTCAAGTTATACTGGGAAGACTGGATATTTATATGCAAAAAAATGAAGTTGAAACCTTAGCTTAAATGTAGAGAAATGGCTTCAAAGTCACCAAAGAAAAAAATCTAAGAGTTCACCTATTATTAAAACTCTTAAAGGGGATCACAGGGAAAAACTTTTGTTTTTTTGTGTCTGCTGGTTGTTTCTTGAGTGTAACAGCCAAGTCATGGGTGACGAAAGAAAACCAAGCAACCAGACTTTGTGAAGATCAGAAACTTCTGCCTCTCCAGGATCAGCATCGGGGTCCATGGGGGCAACCTCTAGGATACTGAGAGAATGGGAAGGTGCGTTTATGACTTATGTATCTAATGAAGGGTTGATATTTAGATTGTAAATCAAATGCCCCTAACACAACACCAAAACAAGGAAACAAAATCAGAACTGAGCTAAATCGCCTTGCCTGGGGAGGTGGGTAGCTTGGTGGTCACTGTATAGTATTTGTCTCACAGGTGCAAGGTCCTGGGTTTGATCCCCAGCAACATACACACACACAAAATATTAGAACAACAGAAGAGGAGACAGGGTTTAAATACACCCTTCTCTACAGAAGACGCAGGAATAAGCCTCTGATGTGTGTAGAGCATCAGGAATCATGAGGGAAACGCCAACAGCCACGGTGGGCATCATCTGTTTATGCCTAGCCGGTGGCGACTATCTACAACCAACGAAACAACAGTGCAAAACAAGCAATTAGAAACTGTTTATCAGACTGTGGAAAAATCAGGACGCTTGTATAGCGTCCATCAGGTCTAACAGTGCCTCCAGAACCCGGAGAAGCCGTCCGCCCCACGGTGCTGCGTGTCTGGTGGCTGCTTTTCCTGAATTCTCATGAATTTCTTGCTCATTATCGGTAACCCCCCTTAACAGATCTATATCGGGGCTTTCTCAGAACTGTAAAGTCAGTTTTCATTTACTGGTTTGCTTTTCATGCTTCCAGAAATATTTGTTGACATAACCCCTGGGCTTTTAATCTATTTTTCGCTGTGACTTTATATCATCGTATTAGTTGCGCTTTAATTAATTTATTATTTTGCTTTAATACGCTTTATTTATAGTGCTCCAGCTGCAAAATTCGCTATTTTTGTTGCCTCCTGTTTCTACTCCCAACCCAACCAGCCGTTCCTTCTACATAACAGCGCTGTTGCTAGTCCCTTTTCCTTAGGCATTGTGAACTAACTAGTATATTATTAGACCACTTCAAGAATCTTGATGTCTTTAACACTTTAAGCACTTTTCAGTCATGTCTGATATGGATTTGTGGTGCTTTTATGGTTGTCGTTCTTTGTTTTGTTTTGCCGGTGCTCTGCCTGGTACTTCTCTGGATCCTTGGGAATACTCTGGTCCGGTGGTTGCACATGGTGGCTAGGAGGCTTTGTGGCTAAACTCAGAAGTCATCTGTTGTATCCTCTGACTTACACACGCGTGAGGTAGCACCAGTTAGAGAACTGTAACTAACTGCAGAGGAGACTGGAAACCCGCTGACAACGTTTCTACCCAGAAGGGAAGCATCTCGGATCTTTGGCGTTTGTATGCTCTACCTGATTTGCTGGTTCACAAATGTTTGCTGCTGAGCACACAAGAGTTCCCGCATTGCCCTTCTTATCAGTGGCTTGTGTGCATTCTTGGCAATTAATTTGACCCTTTCTGTTCCTAAGCATTCCTTTAAAAATGCCTTTATTGGGGCCGTTTAGCTAGCTCATCAGGTAAAGGTGCCTAACATCCAGTCTGGCCACCTGAGTCCAGTCCCCAGGTCTCCAAAGGTGAAAGAAGACAACTGGTTCCCACTTCGAACTCCATCCATATGTGGTGGCAGCAGACAGGCACCCCCACCTTCCCCTGCACTCACAAAAAAAAAAGACACACATAAAAATGCAATAAAAATTGTAAGCGTCTTCATTGATATTTGGCTGCATTTACAAAGGAACACAGCAAGAATGTGTGTTTATTTCTGCATAAAAAAACTGTAAGTTTAGCACCAAAACTTGCAAATGAATGCTGAATGAGGGTCATTTTCTGAGACCATGACTACAGTCCTGGAAACCTGGGGCAGCATTAGAGTTTGCTCTCCAGGAATACCAGCAGTACTTTCCCTGCGTCTCCACAATCACCGATCAGTTGATTATCTGAGATGGTCTAGATGTAAAATATCATTTGTAGTCAGTAATTATTTCACAGTTTCCTTGGAAAGCTAAATTACAATATCAGAACTCAGGCTAAAAGGGTATGCTGTCTTATTTGGTTTCAAGATGAACTAATTATTTACAAATCAAAGAATTAGTGTATTGGTGGTAATAAGCTAGTTCCTGTATGTATAGTCCATTGACATAGGTAGTCGGTATCAATTAATTAATTAAAATGGATCAATTAATTAATTAAGTGTGAGGCGCAGCTGGGGCCTGAGGCTATCACAAGTGTAGTAAAATGTTGACACAATCGTCAGTCGTAGCATTCTGTGATCTGAGTGGAATATTATGTAGTTAACGAGGGGGAAAGCAAAGACAAAACAACCACAGAGTTTTAGTCTAAGCTTAGAAGGGATAGAGCAAGGATGCTGGTTAGCTGCCAGGTCAGGACCTGGCAGGAACACGTGCAGAACAGACTCATTAGTTGTGGCTGAGTTCCCTAGACCCATTCATTTATTACAGAATTTATTCTGCACTGACTTCAGCTCGGTTTTATTTTGAACAAAAAATTTAGCTCTCTGAACTGGGCGTGGCAGTCCACACCTGTGTTCCCAGCACTCAGAAGACAGGCAGATAGCTGGAAATTTGTGGCCAGCCTGGGCTACATAGTGAGATTCTATCTTTAAAACAGCAACAACAATAAAACAAAAAAAGTAATAAACTGTCTAAGCCAGAGGCACAATCCTCCCTACATAGATCAAAGAGTGGTGGGTGACTGGTGACACTGTGACAGCCTGTTAGCGGTCTTACCTTAGTTATTTTTCCAGAAGGCGCCATGTCCCCCTCTCTTTAATTGTGGGGCGCTGCATACTCGAGCTTTGCTCTGGTGTCCATTGCTTTGAATAGCGAAGTGAGTCTGCGCAAGGCTTTGTTATGACGAATGCATCTGAACTCTCACGCTAGGTCATGTAGTGCTGACCTGGGACCCTTCAGCGAGCGCACTATATTGTGTGGTCAGCGAATACCACCGCACCCCACATGCACACACATGCAGAGACTTCTGTGAACTTTCTCTTTGAAACCTTCCTGCCGGAGGCCTGCGCGCTGGGATGGGCACCCCCGTGCTGCTTTTAGTTCCATCCAAAAATCCAAAACAGAGCGATGAAGAAGTTGGGAGGCATGAGGGGAGCCAGACAGAGCTTAGTTGCTGCTAGACACGTAGTCCTGCTTTCTTGGTGATTTCTCTTGAGCAGGGGCACAGCAGCGCTCTATAACCCTCCACGCACTGGCTCAGGAGACGTTGGCTCCAGCTCTGACCCCACTTTTAGTTGTCCTTTCTTGGGTAAATCACACAAAATGTCAGGCCTCCCTTCTTCCTTGAAGAACAGAGCTTGGTGTCCTCAGATGAAGCAGCCCATGGAGTGCTGCATTTACTTGTATGATGCCATCTATGATTCATGCCACTTGGATGAGCGCTTGGTGTTAATGTGATAATGTGATACTTTGTCCATTCAGTGTGTGCTTACCATCTGCATTGCCTCTGTGCTGATTGAACACACTCCTTATTAGAAGCTTCCCTTTTACTGCTGGTTATTTAAGTGGAAATGACCTCCGTCATTTTAGCATTGTTGTCGAGCGCACCTAAGGGTTTTGAGTCTCTCATTGGCTGTAGGGGTAATGATGCACTTCACAATGGGAAGGTTACCTAGTCCAGGAAGTTAGATCTTTAAGGACTTGTGCCTTCTGTTTACGATTCCAGTATTTTCAGGTGAATGTCACAGGGGCTAAAATGTGTTTCTACTTAGGTGTCTGAAGAAAAAACAATAATAATCAAGTATTCCCTTATCCAGAGTCTGAAACTGTATTTATCCATGTGTTGGGTTTCCTTATATGGAACAAACACTGATCCTGTAAATATTTAAACAAAGCCATCAGTTACCTGGGATATCTCTTACACATATGGAGAATAATTCAGTAATGCTGTAATTATTTTATAAGTATAAGTAAAAGAGCACTGTATTCATGCAAATGTATAGAGTTTTCTAGTTATGTATTTGGGGCAACAAAGATAGGTTCATAATATGAAGCACTTTCATTAATTAAGAAAATAAAAAATAAATGCTTTGCAATTTAGTTCATCAAATACAGCTTTAAAATAAAACTAATTGGCTAAGAGTAAGATTATTGAAATGATGAGAAAAGGGAAAGATAGAGCTGATAAATATAAATGTAATTATGTATTACTGAAATGGCAGGGAGGAAGAGAATAACATACTATCAGTACGCCTCTGATAAAGGTAGTTAATAAAAGAACAGTGACCTCAAAAGTATCAAAACACGCAGCCAAAAGTCATCAGAAAAAATAGGCTGTTTTGAGATATGTCAAACATGTATATATAAATGTGTACATACGTATTTGAACATCTGCTGTGTATATATTTATAATTGGTGATAGGCTGGTTACCATATGTGCCTCATTCCAGTCCTCCCAGCCCTCAGGAGGTGGAGACAAGAGTATCAGTAGGGTTACATCATGTAAGTCAGTCTCAGAAACCCAACATACATAAAATAAAATACGATGACAAATATAGATATTTTGGAACATTGTACTTACATAGATTTTTTGTTTTTACTAATTCATTTTTTTTTTGCATTCCAATCCCCGTTCCCCCTCCCTCCTGTCCTATTGCTCCTGCACTCTCCCCCCAACCTCCCACCTGATCCTTGGAGAGGATAAAGCCTGCCCTAGGAAGTCTACTATGTCTGTCCCATCATCTCTTTGTGGCAGGACCATGGCACCTCTCCACCCCTGATAAGGGTTGTCCTTCTGTATATGTTTCTCATTGTTTAGTTAGTAAAACACTGTTTAGTCAATGAGGCAGGACTAAGAGATGAGGAGAATTCAGGGAAAAGAAGGCAGATGAGGGCTGGAAATGGTCACCATGTAGGCCACCAAAGGAGTAACAGGTCCGGACCCTTCTCGAGTAAGATAAGACCACATGGAAATACTTAGATTAATAGAAATTGGTTAATAAAGACAGAGCTCCCAACAAGAAACCCTAGTCATTGGTCAACAATTTTATAATTAATACAGTGTCCCTGTGTTATTTTGGGGCCAAAAAAGGTGGCTGTGGGGTGGGAAAGAACCTTCAGTAACAACCCCCCCACACCCCAGTGTCTAGGCTGGGTAAGGTATCTCTCCATATAGAATGGGCTCCACTAAGTCGGTTTGTGCATTAGAGTTAGCCTCATGTATTGTCCCTTTACTTACACAGATTTAACAGCAAGGATAGCATGCGACTAGGCATAGAATTATTGGAGGGGTTGAAAAGATTCAAAGTCCTTCTTCATGTTCATGGTACGACACCAGATGGCTGACTCTAGGTTTTGTCAGAGTCCTAAGAAGCCTACCTCCTGGGAGTCATAGAGTCCTGGCTATTAGCTGGGGTCTACAAAGTACTGATGAAACCGCCTGGTCCTGATGAGTAAATGAAGTGGTGAATGCTTGCACGCTTTGATTTAGTCCTCTCCTAGGTTAGCATAAGTCTAGGGCAAGTTATATAAAATCCTGACCCGACAGACTGAGCCTCCAGGTAACAGTGCACATGGTGATCTATCAGGAATTCTCTGATCTGTGTGTGTTGTCTCAGGTTATCCTGATCCAGAGAACTTTTCCTGGACAGAATATCTGGAAGCCACTCAAGCAAACACGGTGCCTGCCAGAGTTTTCAGCACGGTAAGTTCCTTGGGGGGTGTGGACCCTCACCTTGCCAGTGTCCTGGGGTGAATGTGGCTGCCACTGCAGCTTCTGCATAATGCAGACTCTTAAATCTAGGTGATAATTCCATAACCAACCTGCTTTGTTTTTAGTTAATGGTACAAAGTTGGTGCTTATTTGCTGCTGCTCCTATGCTCCAGCAAGGACCCCAGAGGCTCTAACTTACCAGCCACGGTTGGTGGAGAACTTGAAGCCCATTTCTCAGGCCCTGCGGAGTTGAGAACTCTTGACTCCTTTTGCCAGTGACTGTTTGGATTGTGATGGTAGCATAATCAAACAGATGAAATATGGAGTCTTTTTGTAAGCATAGTTTTATCTAAATGAGGGTAATATTTGTCCTGGCAATTGGGAGAACACCAATGTGTATGGTAGAGATTTATACCATGTCTCTTTGTTAAGAGTTTAACTGTGTAGAAATTAACTTGTAAAACATTGTACATACATAAGTGATGCAATTAGAAATATTTGTGTTCTAAGTCAGTGGGTATTAAAGTACTGTTCATTTGCAAATTATAACTGTGTCCTCCAAACTCAACTTACCTTTTTGTTTGTTTGTTTTTGATGTTTTGAGACAGTATTTCTGTGTTGCCCTGGCTGTCCTGGAGCTCTCTATGTAGATCAGGCTGGCCTCAAACTCCCAAGTGCTTGGGTCAAAGGCTTACCTTTAATTAGGACTCCATATATTAGGTGTCCTCATTTGTTTATATAATTTTATTTACTGCATGTTTTCTGGCAATTAGATGGAATTGGAAATAAAATGCTGTTTTATTTTTCTAGTAAAGGGTTTAATGGCTGGAAGTAGGGTAAAGGGCACAGAGAATAGAGAAGTCTGGGAGTCTAGTGCTACAGGAGTTTCAAGGATTTTAGCTTCAGCAGGAAAATGTGCCTAACGTCTGGTACCTTTCTTTGTTATAGACATTTTTTTCCATATGACATTTTTCATATGAAGTTTCAAAAACTTCATATGACTTTCCTAGAAGAAAGATTCAAGAAAATAACATGATGGAAATGTTTACCTGCAAAGACACTTCTAGGCTCGGGCTGATTTTTTGGAATAGTCCAAATATGTCTATTTGTCATCTACAACCCTAAACAATTACATTCCTTGTGGAGGACGGTGATCTTGGGGATATAATTAACTCTTTTCAGAGACCCAATTATATTGGCACAGTCTATTTAGTAGGTGCAATAACATCTACGCTGTGGTGAGGTCTCCCAGATAGATACTGGAGGCTGGCTTAAGTTTTTATTACTCACACATTAATAGTTTTATTTTCCTGTTATGACTTGTAGTCTTGAAGAACTCAATACACTTTCTCACATAAAGTCAGATGAACACTTCTCATGTGAAATAGTTTTTGAAGTGAAGCCTTCTGCTCACTTATAAAACCGCTGGAGTAGACCTTCTTTTGACAGTTATTTTCTCAGGAAAATGACTTCCCAGACCTAGTGGGTTGCCCATCCTATTTCCTTTATTGCTTGTAATTTTATCATTATGGACTCCTGATCGCAAATATTATAAGACACAAACCTAATGTTGTAGGTGAGGTCATGAAAGAATAGCATATTGCTGTAACTTTCCTCGTGGTTAAATATAAAGAGAGTGTTGAAGTTGAACAGCAGCAGCTTTTCTCTAAGAATACCTTAAGTTTTAAGTTTAGAAAACATGTTTAGATTTTGGGTGACTTGCTAAATAAATGTACTGCCTCTTAAGCTACACAGTTTAAATGGGCATTGAGGATAGCAAACACTATCTTATTTTACTTTTGTTTCAGAAAATGTTTAAACTCATGCATGTTAAGGGAAGCTTTTTCTTTGCTAGCCGCTTTGGTTTATCCCCCGCCAGCAGCCTGGGCTTTGCTGCGATGTAGTCCCCAAATAACACACAAGACGCTGTATTAATTATGAAGCTGTTGGCCTTGCTTGTTTCTTAGTGGCTAGCTCTGACTTAAGTAATTACCCCATAATTGTTAATCTAAGTATGTCTCTTACCGGAGAATAGTTCCGGGACCCTACCCCATGGCGTTACATCTCGAACTCTCTTGTTTCTCCTTCCCAGAATCTTCCTGGACTCCTAGTCCCTCCTATCTAGATTCCCTATTGGCCAGACAGTACTTTATTGACAAATGCACAGGACTTCCCCAACACATGAAGAAGGTGTAATAAGAACCTTTTCAAACCTTGATGTGATCATTAATAAATTCATAACTAAACTTTTCTTTGTGTGTTATAGCTTTCTCTTAAATGGCGAAAGTCTTTCTTTCTCCTTATAAGTTTTTAATAACACTGATTGAAAATATGCATAAAGTCCTATGTACTCTTTAAACTAAATCCCAACTTGGGTAAAGACCTGTGTGTTTACACCAAAACTGCGATCCTGGGGACGGTGCAGCGGGAATTGGACTTCCTGGCTTTGCGTTGACTTACTGCGCTGTGATTCTGCAGAGGGCTCCACACGGCTTTCTGCCAAACATGAAGCTGGAAGCTGTGGACAAGCGAAACCCCAGGTTGATTCGTGTCGCCACCCTTATAGATGTTGATGACCACAGGGTAAAGGTACGGCTTTATTTAATTGCATTGACTGCACCCCGTCCTGCCCCCCGATATTTTTTCTGCTTCCCCACATCCTGTCATCTCCTTTGTCTTCCTCAGTTTTTAATTCTAATTCACAGTAATTTTCCATGAAGAAAAGCCACTATGGATACGATTTCAGTGACTGTAAGGAGGTAAAGTAATAGTCCCCCAAAGACAGGGTGTTACTTCCAAACCTCTGTAGATGGACTTTTTGGGTTTGTTTGTTTGTTTTTTTGGTTTTTGGGTTTTTTTTTTGGTATGGACCACTGGCTCTTTAATAATGATATGGAGACTTATGATTAGTTATGAAAGCTTGGCCAATGGCTTAAGCTTGTTTCTAACTAGCTCTTATAACTTAAAATAACCAATATCTTGTAATCTACATTCTTTTACATGGCTTGTTTACCTTTACTCTGTATTACCTATGCCTCTTCCTCTCCATCAGCTGGTGATTACACCTTCTTTTAAGTGTTCAGTAACCGGGAAGGAATCCACAGTCTTTCATTTTCTGTGGAAACAAAAGCACAGCCTCCACCCCAATGCACATGCTTTTTGACTTCCATTCTGAAGTGAAGGCATTCCTAAAGAACACAGATTGCTTTAATCCAGCGGTCCCTTCGGCAATCCAATGCCCCTCAGCAGCTGTTGTCTGTTGGTGAGCATTCAGAAAATTCAAAATTAACAAAACACCGTATATGGTACAAACTCCCTGTGTTATAATATCTCCCATCCTTATGGCTTTCTCTCTTTTTTAAAATTACTTTGCTTCTCTCATTAAAGACTTCATTATTTTTAAACTATTTATATTTTTTATGACCGTCTATGCCCTTTTCCCTTCTTTTTCTCCCAAGCCTACCCACATTGTTAAACACATTGTAACCTGCCTAAAGGTTATTTTCATTCGAACATGCTCTGCTGTGTATCTGTAAACTTTTCTTTCCGCATGAGCAAAACCTGTAAACCACTGAGCAGCTCATGGCTTGCTGGAAGCTCAAGCCCTCAGGCAGAGGCCAAGAGATGCTCTGCAGCCCACTGAGAGACTGCAGAGCCAGGAAGCCACTTTTGGCTCTGTGTCTGTGTGTTTGGAACCTATTTTAAGGCTTTCTTAGGTCTTATGTGGAAATAGGTGCCCCCACGTAGGATGCTCTTTGTAGGTGGACTTGTTTGTCTGGGCCATCAGCTTGCAATAACAACAATGGAGACTTACTATTATGAAAGCCCAGGCAATAGCTTAGGCTTGTTTCTAACAACCTTTTACATCTTAAATTAACCCATTTCGGTTAATCTACATTCTTTTACATAGCTCAGTTACTAATACTCTGTACTGTCCATGCTGCTTCCTCTCCATCCAGCTGGTGACTCTGCCTTCCTTCTTCCCCGCATCCTCTCTGCTCGGACATCCTGCCTAGCTATTGGCTACTCAGCTTTTTGTTAAACCAGTCAGAGTGACACGTCTTCACAGTACACAAAAAGATTATTCCTCAGCAAACCTATTCCTGCTTTCCTTTCTCCTCCCATCCATGTCTTTGGGTATATGTGTGCAATCTCTAGGTTAGACAGGACCAGCATTGAGATAGTCTCTAAGACATTTCTGCTTGGATATTCTGTAAGTGCTTCCCTTAAAACAAAGATTTTTGTCTTCTTTTTGTTGGCATTACCAATATTTTTTTTCTTGAAAGTATTGTGCTAACTTCTATGAGTGTTTGTTTTCTGCTTTTGAATAAAAAGAATAGGAAAAATAAAAAGCAAAATTTGCTTTGGCCACTGTAGCCAAAAGTTAGGGATGAGTTAAGAACCTGAGGAACAGCTGGGCTTTGGTAGCGCACGCCTTTAATCCCAGCACTTAGGAGGCAGAGGCAGGCAGATCTCTGTGAGTTCGAGGCCAGCCTGGTCTACAAAGTGAGTTCCAGGACAGCCTCCAAAGCTACAGAGAAACCCTGTCTCGAAAAACAAAACAAAACAAAAAACAAAAAAAAACAGAAAAACAAAAAACAAACAAACAAAAAGAACCTGAGGAACAGATTTCTGTATTGTCCTTGTTGAATACACACATTTTAGGGAAATTAAATAGGGAAAATGAAATCTCCCTTAAATGAAATGATTTGGTCATTTTCAATAATACAAAGATCAGAAAGCATTTGTCACCTTGGCTTTGTTGTATCTTGTAAGGAATAACAGTTAAAAAACAATGTTGCATCCAAGCACAGTGTTTTCATCGTAGTAAAACCAGTGAATTAAACTGCTTTTAATGGGCATCCTATATGTTTGATGTCAGTTGATACAATTTGAAGGAAATTTTAGTTCATTTGCTTTATCCTTAATTTGAGTAATTCATTTTATGCAGTTACAGGTACATTACTTGTTTGGTGAATTTCAGAGACAAGTATAGGGTTTTACCAGAGATCACTGGGAGTACACATGCCAGGGTTATTTGTTTGTCTGACAAATAAAATAACAAGTATGTTCAAGAACCAAGTAGCTGTTGTCTCCCATAATACCTTGTTATCAACATGTGACTTTAATTTTAAGTGTGGTACTCAAGGCCTTATTTTGGCTTATCATTGTTTACTCTTTGCACTCAATGTGGAAATACACTACTTGTCACATTGGCTCTGCAATAGTTTCACATTTATAACTGTCATGCTTAGGCATTAGCTTTCATTTTAAATTTATTGCATTTCAGTCTTAATAACACCCAAAAGCAATCTAGATTTTTATTGAAGAACTATTTTTTTTGATACTCCCAAGAAATATATTCTGGTTGTCACTTGATCGTTTGCTGCTGCCTTGTTATGTGAAAATACTGAGTTAGCCTATTTATTATCTTAAAATATAATTTGAAAAACTTCATCTCTCCAGGCGAATTTATTGTATTTCTCATTTACCGTCTCAGCACTGAGCTTTTAAAATCTGTTGAGCATTTTGCCTCTAGCTGATCACTCCAAGACAACTTTTCATTTTTTTCCTCCTTATTCTTTTCTTCGTTCATGGAAATTGTTTGTCTTTGCTGGAGGAAAAAGAGTTGAAGAATATATAGTACCTGTGAAAGTACTAAAGCCATAATTTTTATTTCTGTGAAGATAGAATATCTTATGGAAATCATGACAACAATTTTAATTGTTATCTCTATCTTCCTTGGGCATTAAAGGAAGCCTTTAGGATTTTAGAGCTAAAATGTGTTTATACAAGTGGCTGCCTTACAGAGCTAGAGCGTGCAGTCTATCAAAATGCACCAGTGTTGGGATATACTTGACTGTCTTGAGCCTCACACACTGCCTTGGCCTCTTCTTGCTGCCTGTCTTGGCAGAGCTTGCCTATACCCTTTGCCTATAGGCTTTACCCTCCACCTCCCTTCTGCCAGTCCCACAAAGGTGTAAATATTTGTCTTGCCCCATGAGGTACATGGTCGATCCGTGAGCTTAGGGTCATAAGTATTAACTCTAAATCCATTCCTTAATACCCCCGCCATCCAAGAAGACACAGTATTAAAATGTGGGTTGGGTTCTTCCTCTGAGATCTTGTGTACAGAGGCTGGAGGTCTTTGGGAGGTGAGAGAGCACTGGAAGCGTTTTTGATCTCTTATCGCCATCATCCCTACGTCCCTCAGCTGATAGGCTCAGCTCATCGTTCTGTGACTTCTTTTTTTCCTCCTACAGTGTCAGTGTCTTTCTCATAATTTTTAATCAGTGGCCCCGTAGTAGACACTGTCCGTGCGAATGGAGGCATGGAGAAGGGGTAGCCCTGATGATTCCTTAGAGTTCCGGCTGTCCGTTGAAAATGAGTGAGCTCCTCATTGCCCGCCCTTCCTAATTAATCCCCTGTGGGCAACCTGATTCTTCAGAATGTGCTGTGAAGTGCCACAGGCTGATCTGGGTTTGATTTCTTGATCTGGCTCTCTCGTAAACTTAGCTGGGCAGTGTCCCTCCACTGGTCTGTAGTTATCAGGGTGGTGTACAAAAGGGCCACATTGGATGCTGTGGCAAAGGCTCCAGGTGTTGTAAAAACAGAGATGACAGAGCCAATCAGTGTGCTGGTGTGCGGTGAGCCCCTGGCTCTGGACTGCGGGCCCTCCAGAGTATAATCACGGCCGTGTCATCGTCGCAGCAACTCTTTTAAGATTCTTCCCTGCTCCGCAGATGGTGAGGGGAGCTTAAGTAACTTCAGCATGGCTTCGGAGAGCTAAACACCCAGCCAAGGCTTTCAATGCTCTGACTTTAACTGCAAGCAGGGATAAGCTATCGAGACTAGAGACCTTAGACCGTCAGCGCCTAAGGGATGGGATGGTCAGCGGCCAGATGCAAGGCCACATCTTTTCAGTTCATGCTACTCTCAGGCCAGCTGTCTGAGTTTCATTCCAAGACCCTCCATTTGGCCAGCTGTGTCTCTCCAGGGGGTAAGTTGTGAGGTTTTACTTGCCGTGATTGGGCATTAAGATGACATTGCCCCCCTCATCTTGACCAGACTTATTAATTACCATGGTTACTCTCTAATAAATATTTATGATGGACTCTGTGATTCTTGTTCAATTTGTAGCTGGCTATTACAGTTCAGTAATTATCCTTTTGTTTGACTGCACCCTGCACTCTCCCTATATCCAAAAGTCCATTACTGTCATCTCATCAGGAAGCGTACATTAAACTACAGTAGATGGGTAGGTACTCTGAGGAAGTTCAGACTCTATTCAGGGGCAAGGAAGAATTCATCCATGAGACAATACAAAGGGAGATTTAAAAGAGAGTAGTATTTGATAAATATTTGCCCTGTGGGAACTGAAGCTAAGCTGTGAAATAAATTATAAATGGATTCCAAATAGATGTTTTAGGGAGATCTCCTGAATCATTAATAAATTGAGTCTCTTCAGCAAGCCTTTTCATATTTAATGCATTAACTGGGAGTACTTGTGGTATTTCAAAATGAAATAAAGGCGTCATGATCAAGGAAAATTGTCATGGTAAGTCGTCCAATTACATGACTAGAATTTC